CAATGTTGCTCCCATCGTACTTTAAGGGCAACATCCCAGAAACAATTTCGAGCACCCAGAAGAGTGTCGAAAGAGTGTCGACATGGTGTCGAAACAGTGTCGGACGAGTGTCTCCCAGGGCCTGGCACGTGAAAACCTTACTTTTTTTGGCGCTCGAAATTCTTTCTGATGCTCAAGGCTAAAGTAGGTTGGGACATCACAACATTAGCGGCACATCTTCCAGATGCTGGAGTAAGTGGCAATGGGGCACCTGCTCCAACGCCGCCGCCGCCTACATCGACGCCAGCACCTTCCCCGCCAGTGCCGGCACCAACACCACCGCCTGCTCAGACGCAGCCGCGCAGACCAAGAACGGCAGCCTCGACAAGGGCGCCCTGGATTTCCTCCCTGCTTGCCGCGCCCCACCCGGCTTGCCACCGGGCTGCTGGGCAACGGCCGCGACGGGAGCCCAGCCGATGGGGCCCATCTACCCGCCATCCGCGGCATACCCCTCTCGGAGCCCCCTCACCGAGGCGGCCGAGGTGGCCGCGGAGGCTGCCGCCACGACTGCCTCCCAGACGGCCCCGACGACGGCCCCCACGACCCCCCACTCGACCCGAGGGCTCCTGCGACGACCCATCCCACGACCCCTCACCCAACGGCGTCCACGATGGCCGTGCCCCGAGTGGCCACCTGCCCTGAGAGGGCGCCCTCGGGGGGCACACCCAGGGCAGTGGAGACACGGGCGCTCAAGGCCAGCCAACGCCCAGCGACGGCAGCCCGCCAGCGGGCGCCGAGCCCCGAGCGGCCGCATGCCCCGAGAGGGAGCGCGCGGAGGGCACACCTGGGGAGGCTGCCATAGGGGCAGCCGCCGCCGCAGGCTCCGGCGCCGACACGTCGCCCGCCGCCCCCGCTCCGGTGGCGGCGAGCTCGGCTGCCGCCAGTCCCATGCGCCGAGTGCAGTCCCCGCGACCTACGGCCCCCACGGCCCCCCATGACCCACCGACTCTCCCAAGGGCCCCGCGCCCCCCCTCCCAGGGCCCCCGCGACCCCACGCCCGACGGACGACCCGAAGCCTCCCCCCACGACGACTCGCCTCCTCACCACGACGCCCCCGACCGACGCTCACCCCACGACCAACCTACTGGGACTGCCTCGGCTTCGCGGCCAGCGGTACCCGCACGGACAGCTAGACGCCTCTCCCGACTGCCGACCCCACCGACCAGACACGTCCTGACGGCGTAACCGACGGCCGACCCACAGGCAAACCCGACAGTCTCCACGACGCCCAAACCAACGCCTGGCCCGACGGCCAACCCTAGGGCTGACGACGACGGCCCATCACGCCGCCGACCCGACGGCGCAACAGACGACGGAGAAGACGACGACGCCGACTACGACGACGACGACGAAGCCAGCGCCCTCTTCCACGACAACCGCCAGCACGAACAACACGACTCCAGGAGAGACGACATCCCTCCCAACGACGAGCGCGACCGCGACGACCTCGACGGCTCCCACCACGGCCCCCTCACGAGCTCCCAGACGGGACACGGACCTGCCCGACCGACGGGCGACCCGAAGCCTCTCGCCACGACGCTGCCAAACACGACAACACCAACGACGACCCGAATCCCCCCCACGACGACATGCCTCCCCACCACGATGTCCCTCCCCACGAACCCAGCGCCCGACGCCCCCAAGTGGATGACATTCACCCGTTGGGACCTCGAAGCCCGCTGGACCCATTACGTCCTCATCATCACCAGCACCGCCGCCAACACCCACCCGACGACTACGCCGGTACCATCGCCATCGACACCCAGACCTAGCAACTTCACGACGAGCTGCGATAGACCAAGACGGCCCAGCAGCAAGACCTTGAGAAGATGCGCGACGTCGAGGCGGCACTGCAGGAGCTGGATCACCTGATGGTCGACCTGGCGCCCACGACCCCGACCGAGACGCCGACGCCGACCCCACCTGACGTCGACGCCCTCGCCCAAGACGCCCCCGACCAAGACGTCCTACCCCCCCACACGACGCCCCTCCCCCCCACGATCCGACCGACTGCCGACAGGCTGGACCCGTGGCACAGCCCACTTTCCTCTGAGGAGGTCCTTTCTCTGCGAAGCCCTCCCCCCTCCCGCAACCACACTGACTCGAAGCTCCTCCCACCACGCTCGACGCAGCACCTGTGGGAGAAGCCGACTCCTACCAGGGCAACTCCACGAACCGCAACGCCAGCGACCTGAACAAGGCGCCGAGAGGCCCGGCAGGCTGCGGCGGCTGCCGCCGCAAGGAGGAACGGGGGGGTTCAGTAGTGAGGAGTAGTGCGAGGTAGGAGAGGTGTAGGACGACTGGCTCTCGGTCGCTTAGTTTTCTCAGCCCTACCCAGGATCGACCGACGCGATCGAAGAACTCTGAGGTGTGTGAATTCCAATTTCCCAGGATGGTGATGATGCTGCTGCTGCGGATGATGATAACACCCAAAACAATACTAATGATGATGCTGCTGCTGCTGATGATGATGATGATGATGATGGTGCTGTTCATGATGGTGATGCTGATGATGCTGATGCTGATGATACTGATGACAAAGGATGGTGGTGTTGCTGATGCTGCTGATGGTGCTGCTGCTGATGATGCTGATGCTGATGCTGATGATGATGATGCTGATGATGATGCTGCTGATGATGATGATGATTATGCTGATGCTGATGATGATGGTGGTGCTGCTGCTGATGATGATGATGCTGATGATGCTGTTGCTGATGATGATGCTGATGATGACGAGGAGGAGGAGGAATGAGGGAGAAGGGAGGAGAGGAGGGAGGAGGGAGGAGAGAGGAGGGACGAGGGAGGGAGGAAGGAAGGAAGGGAGGGAGAGAAGAGAGAGGAGGGAGAGACGGAAAGAAGAGGAGGAGGAGGAGGAGGAGGAGGAGGAGGAGGAGGAGGAGGAGGAGGGGAATCGAACGCTGCGAGCATCATGCTTAGAGTCTGGCCAAGGTCCGAAAAGCGGGAGGGAGGAGGGGAAGCAGGCACGAGCAAACCAGCCTCGGAGCTCCTTTGACGACCCGACCACACACGACCTCTAGCTGTGATCATGTTCATCACCTATCACTTCGCGCCGAGGGCCTACTGTAGCCATCGAACGATAGGGGGAGGAGGGTCGAGGGGGAGGATGAGGAAAAGGAACATGAAGGGCAGGATGGGGAGGAGGGCAGGGATGAGGGGAATACTTGGCTCCAACAACAGCTTCCTCGGAAACTCTCACGGGGAAGTATTCGCAAGTGCGCGCAATGACCGTGTGACGCCCTAGCCCCAGAATGGTACCACTCGGACCTCAGACCGCCGACGATTACCTTCGGGAGACCCTTCCATGACCCAGAGATGACCCCGCATCGTCTGAAGATGGCTTCAAGACGGCCCCAACGCAGCAAGAATCCTTGACTATATGGACCCCATCATACGCCGACCAGCACGGCGAGATCCATGTACGACCTGGAATTATGGTTTCCCTTATTTTTGATGGGTGGGATTTTGACCAAGCAAAACGAAACTTATATCCGCCGGCCCCCTTGTGGGGCCACCAGGCTGTAGGCCGAAACTTCGCAGTTTCCTGTACCAGTTGCAGCTTCCAGTTTCCACTGTCACAGTTCTGCTTCTTACTGCTTACTGTTCCTTGTTACAGTTCTGCTTCTTGCTGCTTACTGTTCCTTGTTGATAGACCGCGCGCAGGGGGGGAGGCCCAACACAGGCATTTGTACCACGCCCTGAGCGTGTGCTCTGACTTGCTGGGGCGGGGGAAAATTGGCACCCCTCATGCAGATCAGCGGGGTCAGGGTCCAAAAACAATGAGGATGTGCCACATTTCTGAAATTCGGTGGCACCCCTCACGCAGATCGGCGGGGTCAGGGTGCAAAAGCGTAAAGGATTTGTCACATTTCTAAAATTTGCTGGCACCCCTCACGCAGATCGGCGGGGTCAGGGTCCAAACACACAAAGGATTTTCCACATTTCTGACATTCGGTGGCACCCCTCACGCAGATCGGCGAGGTCAAGGTGCAAAAACACAAGGAATTGCGACATTTCTGAAATTCGGTGGCACCCTCACGCAGATCGGCGGGGTCAGAGCCCAAAAACACGGAGGATGTTCTACATTTCTGACATTCGGTGCACCCCTCACGCAGATCGGCGGGGTCAGGGTCCAAAAACACGGAGGATTTTTTACATTTCTGACATTCGGTGGCACCCCTCACGCAGATCGGCGGGGTCAGGGTGCAAAAACACACGGGATTTGCAACATGTCTGAAATTCGGTAACACCCATCACGCAGATCGGCGGGGTCAGGGTCCAACAACAAAAAGGATTTGCCACATTTCTGAAATTCGGTGGCACCCGTGACGCAGATCGGCGGGGTCAGGGTCCAACAACAAAAAGGATTCGCCACATTTCTGATATTCGGTGGCACCCCTCACGCAGATCGGCGAGGTCAGGGTCAGAAAACACATGGGATTTGCCACATTTCCCACATTCGGTGGCACCCCTCACGCAGATCGGCAGGGTCAGCGTCCAAAAACATAAGGGATTTGCCACATTTCTGACATTCGGTGGCACCCGTGACACTGATCCGTAGGGTGAGGGTCCAAAAACACAAAGGATTTACCACATTTCTGAAATTCGGTGGCACCCGTGACGCAGATCTGCAGGGTCAGGCTTGAAAAACAAACAGGTCCCGATACTGCTTCACGGCGGCGCCCAGACCTCGTGATTTAGCTTTTGGAAGCCCTTACGGATTAAAAGGGGACTCAGCTAGGCGGAATCCCGCCTGGCCAACTGCAGAAGACTACATTGCTAAGCTTCCACGGGGGTAGGGGGTTCGGAAAAAAAATCATCTACTTCCGTTGTATTCTGCAAGCCTTCCGCCGTCTTCCGCCTCTTTCTACTTCCGTCGACTTCCGCGGACGTCAATTACTTCCGCTGCTTTCTGCATGTCTTCCGTCGTCTTCCGCCTCGTTCTACTTCCGTCGACTGCTGCTGGCGATCGTCGTGACAAAGTTTAAGGAAGCTTCATTGGGCCGATGTATGTATGTGTGTAAAATATGTACATATTGGGAAAGAGAAAGGGAAAGAAAGAGAGAGATAGAGAGAGAGAAAGAAAAGAAGAGAGAGAGGGGGAGAGAGAGAGAGAGAGGGAGAGAGAGAACATTGAGAACGAAGAGGATGAGGAAACCGGAAATGAAGAGGGCAAATCCCACCTCCTTGATCTTCCGGAACTTGTTCTCCCTGCCTACGGCGTTGAGCCCAGACCACGGGAGCGAGCCCCTGAGCAGGTAAAAGAACATGTGCCCGAGCGCCTCGGGGGGGGGAGAGAGGAGGAGCAGGAGGAGGGGAAGAGAGGAGGAGGAGGAGGAGGAGGAGGAAGGAGGAGGAGGAGGAAGCAGGAAGAGGAGGAGGAGAAGAGGAAGAGCGCACGCAGCTGTCGGGAGGGGAGGGGGATGATGAGGAGGAACAACCAGTAAAGAATGATGCTGAGCGCCTCGAGGTCATCCCGCCTGCTTTGCTCGATTCCGCGATGCACGTTGATGGAGGCGTACCGGGCCGTTCCGGTGAGAGTGAGACTCGTATTCATCCGACAGTGCCTTCTGTCGTAATACTTCTTGCTTAGGCCGAAATCTATGATGTACAGATGATGCTGCTTCGCCCCGAGACCAAACATGAAATTCTCCGGCTTAATCCGCGAGCCCCCACCTGTGGGCCACCAGGCTGAGCGACTGAGGTTTATGATGTCTTCCCAACAGCAGGGCGCAAGGCAAATCGGCAAGAATCTGGACAGTAGCTACCTCTCAGCTTCTCGATCGTCATGACTTCTGCAGACCCTCTTCAGACTTCGGAGCCCCTTCGGACCCTCAAGGCATCGTCTCGGGCGTGCGCGCAGCCCCTTGGGCCAGAAACGCCATTTACACCCCCCCGTGCCACATACACGTCGTTCATTTCTCATCGTGCTCATTTCTAATTGTGCTCGTTTCTTATTGTTCCCGGCCCCCCAGTGGCCAGGAAGAGGCCAAAGAATTAGAAATGAAAGGATTCTGGCCCCCCCCCAAATCATGGAGCTTTCGAAACATGGGAAACGAACAATGTGTAATTTCTGCGTGGTCGACCCCCTCACCCACGCCGAGCATCGTCTTAACATCCCCCGGGCCGTGAACTCCCAAGTTCGCCCCGGCCGCCCGCCAGGCCGCCCCGAGACTAGGGGGCCACATGCGAACCCTACCCCAACCCCCCACTATTTCTGAGGGGGAGGGTGGGGTTCATTTCGTTCGGGAGCTACCGAACGAAGTGAACCCCACCCTCTCCCTCAGAAATCGTCGGGGGCAGGGGTAGGGTTCGCATGTGGCCTCCTAAAGACCTCATTTATTACCCCAGTGTGTGAGATG